GGGGGATCATAATAATCAGGGAACATTTTGATTGCGTCCATCAATACTGATACATCACAACTGCAAGTACAGAATACAAAAACACGCCACGACTTCCCAACTACTACCCTTCAACAACTGTTCACATTGATTAATTCTCTCTCTGACAGTACTAGTTCAGGTATGGGTTCTATCAATCAGGGCATGGGTTATTGCAGGAACACCCAGAGAAAATCAGGTGTGAGGCAGTTGATCCGAGGGGGCCCCTTACTTCAAGCAAAAGATTTCCTCTTCTTCCAATTCTTCTTAGCGTTTTGGTTGACCCTTAGGCGGGTCTTAAGGCACCTAACTGCTTATCAATGCTTTCATTCTTAATTTTAATAACTATTATCAATGCTTCATTCTTCTCTATTGTTCCATGTCTCAGGAGGTACCTGCTTTCTAGCCATTGTCTTCTCTGTTGTCTCTCCAACCAGGCCACAGCCGGCCTCTTTTCCTTCTTTCTTGCAGTTGCCAATTCAACAGCTTCTTTGGAAGTCTTTTGCTCTGCATCCTCTGCACGTGTCCAAACCTCATGCAGTTGTGCAGTATTTCAATCACATAATCTCTTTAATTCTTTCATTTTGTGTTGGATACACTATATATCATTAGTTTTGTTCTTTGACTTACATTCTTGTTCCAAAGGATCGAATTCAAGGACCAGTGAGTTTTCTGCCCAGTTTAATTCATTCCAAAACCTCAGTCTCATAAACTCCCAGCTTCCTGATTTTCCCCCCTAAATATTTTATTTCTTCAGTTTTTATAATCATCTTGTTTGTGTGCTATTATTACCTGGTCATCGGCGAACTGTAGAGAGTAGAGTACATGTCCACTGATATTCCCATTCCCGCACAACTCCATTTTTGCAGGACCTCATTCTCGTAAATTTTGAACAGTGTCGGTGAAATGTAGCATCCTTTCCTTAGGCCTTTAGTTATTGGAAATGATTCTGTTCAGTGCTTTCCCACTTTCACTATTCCTGCTTGCTCTGAATATAACTTTTTCACTGCAGCAATAAGTGTACCATTCAGATTTAGACGTTACAGGACCTCCCATCATTTCTCTGCTGGCACACTTTAATATGCTTGTGCGATACCGAGGAAGACAATGTGTAATTCTCTCCCCGCTTGCCACTTTTGCATTACTTGTGATAAACAGAAAAAATTATCAATGCAAGATTGCACTGCTTGAAAGTCACTTCGTTCTTCTCAGACTTCTTTTGAATGAAAAAAAGTTCTGGGCTCCGGGAAGTCCTAAACTGGGGTAAGGTGCCCCAGTTGCCTCCCCTTCTGTATGCCCCTGGTTTAACATCTGACTTCCATTTTCTACATTTCAATTATCCAAAGGGGAATTGAGAAAGGGGTAAAAATAAAAATTGTGACAGATTTCTGAAAAATACTAAGGAAAGCAAAGCACAAAAAATGTAAAAAATGCAGGGAAATGACTTGGTCATGACACAAACAGCATTTGACATGAAATTGTTCCGTGGGAGGAGGAGAGAAAGATATTTGTTTACGTATCTTGGTTTAGTTACTTGAACACAGGGAAATATTTTGTGCAAGATGTTTGGTATGCCTGTTGTAATTTAGGGTGTCATCTAGTAGCATTAATAATTTTGATTAGTTACATTTTGTAAAAACCAGCAGTAGTTTTGAATTCTTCTTTTTTTTCCAATCATTAAAATTTTTTTATTGTTTAGGTTGAAACTCTTAATGATGTTGATTATGAAAGTGATGGGATAGAAGATGATGATTTTGGGAATGAGGCAATGGAGGAGGATGACGATGAGAGTAAAGGAAGTGACAGTGATAGTGACGATGATGATGATGATGATGGCAAAGATGCAAAAGATGATTTGCTTCCCATTGAAAGGTCCTCGAAGAAACTTCTAAAAAAACTTAAAAAAGACAAGTAAGTGCTCATTCGTCTCTCTCATAAATTAAATAAACAATGTTCTTTGAGTGTGTAGATTAATGAAAATTATGATGTAATGTTACCAATGCATTTTTCTAGGGAAGAAGATGAAAAGGAACTATTACTGAATGTTGCAACACAGGATGTATTTGAATTTCCTGAAGATCTCAGCGCTGAAGCCATGAATTTACAGGATATTCAGCAAAGGATTAAAGATGTTGTTATTGTTTTATCAGATTTCAAAAGACTGCGTGATCCTAATAGGTGAGATAAAAATAATTTCATGATGAATATATGCAAGTGTATTTGCTGCACATGAGCATAAAATTTCAACCTAAATTTTACTTCCTTGTATTGACTTGAGAAAATTATTTAATGCTGCTGGAAAAAGGCAGACTTTTTTTTAACCGAAAACATGTTTTATGGGTTGCTGATACTATTTCATATTTTGAAAATTTGAATTAAGCCTGATTTGAATTGCAATGCAGGATCTGATGACATTCCTGCAGTGTTTTATAGAAACCAGGTTTATCTTAGCACAAATCTTGAAATTGACATTGGATTACTTTTGTGAGATTTTATTTCCTACTGAATGAAAATTCTCCTTCATAATACCAATTTACAGCTAAATTTTTCTAGAGTGGCCGCTGGGATTTACGAGTAGAGGGGGAAACTGAAAGTGGTACTCGCTTGTCTGATCAAAACAATTAAGTGGTACTCGCTTGTAAACCAAAAAAAATAAGCCTATTGCCCTGCACACATTAGCATGTTTACTTTGACATTAATTTTCTTTAGTACCTTCATTCAGTGGTGAAGAAAACCCAAATTTACCTGATAGCCCGGTTCTGCTATCATCATCTACATCTTTTCCACTAACAGTGATACCTGTTTCCTCACCGTCATTACTATCATTTGCGACGTTTCTGTTAAAAATAACGATTTCTGGACATGGTGCATTAAATCATTGTGCGGCGACTTCCTCTCTCTCATTGGAATCGCAGAGAGTAGATTCTATGCTCTTTCTCTCTTTATTCAGATTTGAAAATGAACATGATTCTCCTGATTCAATAGAATTCATTTCCTTTTTAATTCTGCAAGAAGGCCTTTTTGAAACACCCATAGCAGCAGCCAAGAACTGCTTTGACGTTTTTAACACTTTCTTTTGCTTCTCTCTTCATAAATTGATATACTTTTGCAATGAATGTCTGATTGTGACTGACTTCCTTATGTAACTTGCTCTGAATTGGGCACATTGCAATTATCACTTAAACAGAAGTTAATGAATCACATATAAATGTTTCACTCTAGTAGGAAACCCAACTAACTTCAAGCTTGCACCTCTTGGGTACAAAAAGTCAGGGTAAATGCTTACACAAACTGGAATAAGGCTGTCAACACGTGCTGGGAAGAGATGCGCTCCCCCTTAACAAATAAATTTGAGGAATGGACTCTTCCGGCGGCTCTGAGCCCTCGATCTTCAGCAGCCATGCTAAAATAATATTATTGCACAAAAATGATAAAAATTGTGATCAATGTTAACGCCTATGTGTGATTCCCAAACGTACATTCCCTTTTAAATTATATATAAATGTTAAAATATGTCTGCTTTTATGCTTCCGAAAATTTAAATCCCTGGCATTCCCAGGCAGAAACTTGCCTGTTAGTGATCAGTGAAAATCAGAAATGCTCAGTACTGTCATAAGCTATTGCTGGTGATAAAACTTTAAATTCTATTTTTGAAATATGGGGGAAAATGATTGTGTTGCTGATTTCTTGCATTTTAGAAATATTTCACATATTGCTGATGCATTTACTAGTGATATGCAACTGTGTAAAAGCGCATTTGGTTTCCAATTTTGCTATTTTCCCCATTAGTAGTATTTGGGGTTGTAATTTATATACGTTAGCATTTTTTTTAAACCAATGCATTCCATTTGCACAAGTTTTGGGACATTTAAACTCCATTTAGTTATTTCAATTCTGTATATTCCACCATATATGCATTTTTGCATCATTTTTCTGTATATTTGCTCTTCCTCAGCAGAAAGTTCTCAAGACATCTAAAAGTAACTTATCGTTATCAATTGCTGACATTTCAGCCTCTATATCAAAAGGAAATATTCTCCCAGAAGTGACAAATGTCACATCCTGTGAAAGAAAAGTAATCGATTTGCTTGTATAATAAAACACTGAGTTCAGGAACACAGCATTGCTTCCTTTGCTCTCATGGCCTTTGGCCAGACGAATTTTCATGATTGGTGTGTTTCACAAACTCTGGGCTCTGGTCGGTATTGCTTTCATTTTGTTACTTCTACCCCTATGTCCACCCCAATTCCTTGAACTATGGAACTATGTCTTCCCCACCCCTCAATTATTACCTCATTCTGCCATGTCAGACAACTGCAAAGCATTGGCAATGAAGAAAATTTAAATATACTTTTAAGTTGCATGAAAGATCTTGTGTGAAAGCACTAATGAGAATTTTTTTTCTAAGAAGGGTTAAGTTTTCTTAAAAATTAAACTTGTGGTGTGTGTTATACTTGTAAGATAACAATTTCTATGTCTTATGTTTTGCGGTTCAAATATTTTCAGTTTTTAATTGTATATAATGCCAAATATATTTTATACATGTGCGTATTTTGCTTTTAATAGGTTGCTCAGTAATCAGCTCTAGTAATAAAGCAGAGGGTGTTTAACATGCATGTTTATTTGGTAGTTACTAAAGACCGTATTTGTATGTAATAACATATTTTTTTTATCTTTCTATTTAACGTTCTCAAAATTGTAATCTTCGCGAATCATTACTATCATAACAAGATATCCCATATTTTTGTTACATATTTTTTCATATTTAGTACTATATTACATATTTTGCAATTTAAAAAAATTATCAATTTTCTTCAATTTTGTCAGGCATTTTTTAGAAAAAAGTTAAGTATTTTTTTTATACAAATCAGGAATTCTTTTCTCAAAAAAGGTGGGGTCAGATGTCCTCTCTCTCCAGCAAAACCCGCTTCAGTTATCTCAGTAGTTGGAGGTGTGTATTAGTGACTGAAATTTTTAACTTAAGGTGTGAAAAATATCACTGATGTCGTGTTTCATGAGTTTAACTAACTTATGAGAAAATTTGGTGATCGGCATGTAACACTTTGATGATAATGCTGCATAATGCACCGACTATTAGGTGGTAGAAAATATCGCCACTTTGTACAATGGAAGCAGTCTACCACTATTGGGTCTAGTCTGGTGGCTTATCGACCGTCCTGGATAGCAATACATGAATATTTTACTGCTGACTGGAAAGTTGTAAGATGCAAAGTGTGCATCTACATGTGCTTTCCAAATGGTTTTTAAAACATTTGTATCCGTTTTAAAATTGGTTTGAGAATTTTTTTTATACTTGTAATTTTGTGTTATGTAAATCGGTTTAATAATTCTTACTGTTTTAATTACATATTTATGTTCATATTTTGATGTTTCATAGTACATATTTTTCCGGTCTCTAGTAGTTACTACTATTTTTATTTTCTTTCCTGATACAATAATGTGTTAGTTTTTGTGTACTGTTTTAAAAAATGTTCTAGTGTTCATTTAATCCTAGAATGGTTTCAATAACAGAAAAAGAAAGGAAACAATAGAATTAGTATATTTTGAAGTGCAAAATCTATGGGGCCCTGTGATTTTCCAATAAAGGAACACAGGATTAATGTTCTGCATTTTATTATATAAACAAAAGTAATTTACACTTTCCCATGATTTACATACATTTTCCTCAGACCCAATAAAAATGTAAAAGAGGAGTTTTACTGATTACACTAATTTGTCCATGTTTTCAGGTCTCGGGAGGAGTACGTGTCATTATTGGTAAATGACCTGTGCACATATTATAGTTACAATCATTTCTTAATGGAGAGGCTGATGCAACTATTTCCATTGAATGATTTATTGGAATTCTTGGAGGCAAGTGAGGTTCAGAGGCCTCTGACTATTCGAACGAATAGCCTCAAAACTCGACGCCGTGATTTGGCCCAGGTGAGTAATTTTGTTTCTATTTTGTAATTATAATGTATAAGAACACATGAACTGTACGAACGTATTTGATAAAGCTATGCATTTTCTAGTACAATCCTTGACCATATTTCTTGTTGGGTGACTGACACTTGAGAGTATAGAGTGTCTAAATGGTTACATTTTGATGCTTGAATTAGGTTTGTGCTAATACTATAATCAAATTACAAATATAATGCTTTTAAAAGAATGTTGCATTAGGTGCTAAAGTCATTTTTGATTGTAAAAAATACATGCAAGGGAAGATAATTTTCCTGTAAATAATATGGATTCCATGTTTTCTGGCAATCATTAAAGAATTGAAGTCTGTCAAACACTCACTATTCTATAAATAAAACTTTTGTTTCTAATGTATTACCAACATTAGCCACAGGGAACAGACGATTTTGAAGTAATAATACAATAAAAAATCTAAGCTTTTTCCATAATGTCACATTGAGCACTATTTCGGTTATTTTGGGGCTTTGAAATATTCTCATTGTTGCAGGCTCTAATCAACCGAGGGATGAACCTGGACCCTCTTGGGAAGTGGACGCAGGTGGGGCTAGTGGTGTTCACATCACAGGTGCCTCTTGGTGCTACTCCTGAGTATCTAGCTGGCCACTACATGATCCAGGGGGCCTCCAGTATGCTTCCAGTGATGGCTTTGGCCCCACAGCCAGGAGAACGAGTGCTTGACATGTGCGCTGCTCCAGGGGGCAAGGCTTCTCACATAGGTATGGATTTTTCTTAGCACTTTTAAATTAAAATTGTGATTTTACATTGTGTTGTTTCTTCTGCACATTAAAGCAGACTAGGCCCATTCAAAAAATGTGATATAAATTTGCATTTTTAAACACCTTGCCCCCTCTTCACAATTTTTAATACTTACAGTCCTGTTCCTCCCCCGCCTACTTGGTGAGTATAGTAAAAATAACATAATTAAATATTGGATTAAATTTCATACATACAGTGAATTCTGTCTCCAGAATCAATTGGGACAATAAGTTCCAGTTTGGGATGGTTTCCATTTTAAGCAGGGTTGTCCATTATATGATGCTTGTGAAATTGATATTTCTGTCATGAAACTAAATTACATGACTTTATTAAAATACATTAACATCTAACATATTGATGTAAGAAATCACTAACAAATGAATATTAAACATTCTTCTTTGACAGCTTCTGTGTTTCTCATACTTGCATATGTTTCACTAAGGTTAGTGCTTTATCATTTTTTCAACCATTGATAAAATGGTGGTGAAACAAAAAATACACATCACCTCACTCTTAGTGGCTGCAATCAGACTACTTGCTGACTATTGGAACACACTTCATTACAATCCATAATACAGTTCTGATACAGTTGCACAGTCTTGAGCAAAATCTCTCTGGCTAAGAGTGTTTCAATTTCTCAAGCAGGGCAGGAGGACATGTTAAAAGAAGTCAAGATCGTATACCTTCCCCACACTCTGAGTTGTTAGGGAGGAAATTCCTCTATGGCCTATGTTTTGAGACACATGTGATTCCAAGGTTGAATTCTGTGCTGACAGCTGAAGCCCATCTCCTTCACTCTATGGCTGCCATAGCTAAATCATGTGTCACAGGGCTAGAGAATTCAGAACAAGACTGGCTGATGCATTAATTTCATTAAGAATATCTTGCATCTCTCTACAAATTGCATTAAATTTATAGGAATTCTGTTTTAGAAAGTTTTTTTCCTTATAGGATATGAAAAAACGTTGTTTCCTCATTGGAAAGGTTCCGTTTCATGCTGTGTACAATGCCTTTTAACTTCATGGGCCGGAGAAATTTTCCGGTTAAGGCAAGTTTCTGGCTTGTACAAGTTCCAGTTTACGCAGATTTTACTGTATTTCAATACAATCTTTTAAATGCAATTAAGGTACATTTTTGGTTAATTTTAAAATTATAGTTTGAAGAAATAATTATTACAAAAATGTGATGAGAATGGGGAAGAGAATGAATAATAAATAACTTTCAATTTTGCTTTGGTCACAGTTGTGGTAAGCACTTCTTGTAAAAGCGAAATCATTTTTGAACGGCCCATGGCCACATTTATTTGTGTTATTTGCTTCATGGTGCTTTTGTTTGTGGTGTACAATTAGTCTCTTCTGACATTTTCAATGATTTTTTTAACTTTTCATGTAAAAGGTGATTTCTGTTCTGAGGATCTCTAATCAGATCCTAGAGTAAAATATAGGCATTTTGAATTGACAAAATGTAAAATTGCTTAGACATAATTTTGAATGTGGTTGATTATTAAAATTTGACTTATTAACTTACATTAACATATGGTGTTTCAGTAATATCAATGGTAGCTGCATCTTCTAGTGCTCATCGTTTCACAATAAATTAAAATATAATGCCTTTTCAGCAATTTCTCTATCAGGTGTTTGATTATTTGCACGAGGAAAAAAAGTATTATCTTTGAATGTCTGGATTCTTCTGTGACTAAAATAAAAACTATGAATTTTATGTTACAGCTGCAGTAATGAAAAACACTGGCGTATTATTTGCTAATGATATGAAGAGGGATAGAACCAAAGCCATTGCTGGAAATTTTCACAGATTGGGGATTGTGAATTCTGTAATCACAACATATGATGGTCGTCAATTCCCCAAAGTAAGTTTTAAAGAGTATCCATATTTTTGAACATAAAGTGCTCCCTTACTTGCTAACAGGGTTAGTTATTACCTTTTTTTTTTTTTTTGCTTTGTTTCAGGTTCTGAAAGGATTTGATAGAGTCTTGTTGGATGCCCCATGCACTGGTACTGGAGTCATTTCCAAAGATCCTAGTGTGAAGACAAATAAAGATAATATAGACATCCAGAAATGTTGCACTTTACAGAAGGAACTCATATTGGCAGCAATCGATTGTTTAGATGCCCATTCTCAGAGTGGGGGCTATCTTGTTTATTCTACATGCTCTATTTTGGTAAGGATTATCATACTGGATTGAAGGTTTATGGAAATATTGTTAACAATTTTCTGTCTAAATACAAATAACCTTGTGCTATCTTATATTTTTATTTATTAGAGTTCGGTATCAGGAAAAAATATACGAAATCTGCTCATATTGTGTATTATTTTACTCACTAGTGAGAACTATTTCTAAATTAAAAATCACACATTTCCTGCCAATGGGCAATCATTTTCTTTACCCGAATATGAGTCGTGGTTTTTTCCTAGTGATTATAGCTTAAGTTTTTACATTGCTATTCCATGCCACAACAGTTGTATATGTTGGTGTAACAAACTGTGAAGGCTGTAAAATATTGCATTTGTGCAATTGCTTTCGCATATTTTTCTCGTTGCCCACCGCGAAGTTGCCAAGTAATTCAGATTGATATTTTTGAATGGACCAGTAAAGGAAGAATCTTAATTGAATCATATTGTATCAAATGAAATGTAATGTGTAAACGAATGCAGAGATTTTGTTACAAGATGTGGGTTCAACAAGGTCATACAGAATCTGTTCTATGCCAGCAAGTGCATGTCTAAATTTTGAACTGTTAGAGCAACAGAGGTCATTAACAAGTGCAGGGCAGATAAAAAAAATCTGGTGACACAGAAGGGAGGGATTCTTAGGTGGCATATAATGAAAGACTAAGGACACCAAAAATTCAATGTGCAACACTTACAGATAGGAATAAAGTGAGATGTCACAGCATGGAAGGAGGACCAAAATGAAAGAAACATTGATACATGTGAAGGTGATGAGGGTAGTGACAAAAACCATGATTATGATGATGGCATTATGAACTGGCAAATGATAGTTCAGCAATAAGTCATAACATTCTCAACAAGGCAATTTTCTAGTCAATAAAGCAATTTGCAATTTTATTCTTACTAAATAACAAGAATTAGTTCCAAATATTTAAAAAAAAAAAAAAATCCTCAGGAAGCCTCTTCAAAATTTGTGGGTGCACAGGTGTTTTGTAGTTACTGTGTTAGCTTCTCACATATTTTAACATACATTTAACATTTTATATTTTCAAGATAAGGGAAATAGTGGAAATAACAAATTTCAGGGAACACAGACATGGATTTGTTAAATTTTGTTTGAGGATCAGAATATTCACTAATTTACATGTTATCACCAAAGATGAATGGAAATATAAAATAATTTCCTCTGTAGCAATCTTATAAATATGTATATTTGTGGTCATATAAGAGATACTATTAAAACTGTTTAATTAAAGTCATGATTATCATTTTTAGCCTGAAGAAAATGAATGGGTAGTGGACTTTGCTTTGCGAAAACGAGATGTGAAAATAGTGCCTACTGGACTTGATTTTGGAACTGAAGGGTTTACTAATTACAGACAATTCAGGTGAGAATCTCCAGAATAAACGTTTCGGTGCTTTTTAAGATCTCTTATTTTCTTATTTAATTCATTATTGTAATGTATGTTAAGCAGTTTTGACATGCCAATAGTTTGGAATGACCTTTACTGTATTTGCACTTGGGTATCTGAATAATGTTTTTCATTGTATTAATTATAGATTTCACCATGCAATGAACTTGACACGAAGATTTTACCCCCACACTCACAATATGGATGGATTTTTTGTAGCAAAGCTCAAGAAGTTTTCAAATGCTGTTAAAGATGTTAAACAGAATACAGAAGAGATCCCCAGCTCCAAACGAAAACAGGATTCTCCAGATAAAAGCAATAAAAAAATGAAAGTTGCGACATCAGAAAATGATGGTAAATTAAATAGTGTTTCTATACAGAAGAATTTTGAGAAGAAAAAGAAAAAAGGAAAGAAGAAAAAGGATAATGCTTTTCCCCAAGAAACAAAAGAAACCTCTGCAACATTAAGTTCAGATGGAAAAGAAGGAAATAAAAGGAAAAAAGGAAAGAAGGGGAAACAAGGAAAGAAAGGGGAAAAAAAGCAAGGTATGGTCAAGAAAGAAAACAATAGTAATTCAAGAACTGATCTGACACCCAATTTATCAGAACACTCATCTGAAGGTGGTGCTGGTATCAAGCAAGTGAAAAAGAATAAGGAAACTGTGCCATCCAAAAAAGTGAAAGGCGTTGATAAACCTAAATTCAAAGTAAGGACAGCAAAACCTTTTTTGAAAGGTGTTAAAAAACAGAAAAAAGAAGCAAAGGTGAAAACGTGAGAGTAAATGACAAATGTATTTTGCTGTATATTTATCATGAATGTGCTGTTTTTAAAAGAATTAATATAAGGAGAATTGTTAGATTCATTTGTGTTTTTTTTTTCAACCTAGTTATCAACTCCTAGTAAATAAGCCTTGTTGGATGACAAGAGAAGTGAAAGTAGTAAGAGTTAAGCAATATTATTTCAAGAAGTTTATTTTTTTTGGAAACTACGTACAGTTGTTACACATTATTTATTTTTCAGTAAAGATATTTAATAACCCAAAATCTTTTTTTTAATGGAATCAAATTAAATGAAAGGTGCTGCTGTTAAAAATAATTCTCTGTCAAAATCCACTTTGTGCAAGAAGAGTAAATAAGAGTTTTTTTCAGGATTGAACGACCAAGATGCAGGGAGTACAGGATGATACAAACAACTAATAGCATGGTGTTTTTGTCAATGTACATGTGGGAAATTTGATATTACAAAAGTAACATTTGCATTTTATTGTTTTTTTTGGCAGGTCATATTTCTGACCCAGTTGATATTTTGTCTGTTAAACACCAGTGCATGAGAAGTTGCCTATCAACCATAGGGCAGTGTCATGTGTCACATAACATTTCCTGCCTCATGTTCATTGACATGCCTAGAACCTTTGTTACTCGTCTTAAGTGACATTTTATTTTCATATAATGCGCAAAATGTTCAATAAATCAATGAAATTTTACCCCCATAGATTTTTTTCTTCCCTGGGTTTTGAATCAAATTTTTACATTACAAAGCCCAATGGATGTAACTCAATTTTTTCTTGTTCCAAGAAGTTTTACTAGCATTGTTTCAGAAAATTCAGTAATTTTTTTTTCCATAAGCACGTATAGAAAGGTTTGTTTTAACTATTTAATTTGGTCCTATTTTATTCTTTTTAATGATGCCTAAATGAAATACATTTGTCATTTGGACACTTAAGTGACAAAAGAAAAGTGAAATGCTGTTTGCAACACTATTTACATAATTGTGTCATTTATCTATAGCAACACCATTTCTATTCAATTGGACCAATGTCTTAGACTGATAATTTTGTCCAGTGCAGACTTGCTGTATGAGCCGAAATGGATTTTACACCATTTGTGATATGAAAAAGGAAAGGATAAGATTTTCAATAAAATGTGAATTGCAGTTAACATGTTACATAACTTTTAATAAAAATCATGAATTAAATGGATAAGATGACAAAGTTAATAATACAAAAAGTCAAAATTTTAATTCCATGCTTACAAGATAAGTTTTTAGAATGATACAAGACTATCCAATCTGAAACTAATTGAAAATAAAGTCCCAGACTATGTAATTAAGTTGTGGTGATGAACAGGTGGGCTTGTGGTTCTGTTTATGTCTAAACTTATGATCCTACCTACAACTCCACCTTTTGTGTTGTTATTGCCACTTTGAATTCCACTTTCTAAACATTGAATAACTTGAAGTGAAGCACTTTCTAAATATTGAATGCCACTTTCATCACATCCCCACCACATCCTAATCCAGCTATTCTAATGAAAAATGCAGTTACACTAAACCTTACAAGGCTCATATTTTGTGTTTTAAAGTTATGAATGTGAAACTTGGCAATTTTCATTATTGCTAGCTTAACCTTTTATATCTACTGTGTTATTGAATAGTCTGGTTTTATCGTTAAATATGAGTTCATGGGAACTTAACCCTGAATTAAATTTCTTGTTCTTGGAATGTTTAATGCTTTGGTTTGTGTAACTTGTTTCTTGATACACCTGGAAACTGTTTTGATAGTTCCCTATTCAACCACCACCATCATAAATTGAAGAGAAAAAATTGCAGTCAGTTACATAAAGGTAGGAATGTTTGATAAATAGTTTTACGTGATTTAAGTATGTGAACATTCTTGGAAGAGAGGAAGAGGAGAAAAGTAGGTACTAATTTGTGAAAAAGAATTTTGATTTGTAGTAAAGGTAAATTTCTCTTACAAAAAACTGCTGTGTATTATCTGACCTGCAAATGTTCTAGTATATCAAAGTATAAATCCTCGAGATGTAAGTAAATAATAATATGGAAGATATAGAAACCATTTGAATATATTAAGATGAAGTGAGCCCAATTTAATTTTTTTCATTTCTGATAACAAGGTGGCATGGTTAAGAGAAAAGAATGAAGTTTTATCAAGCAGTTTATTTCAAGATTAGTTAATTTAATACATTTATAATTTTTAAGATTATAAAACATTGTAAGATTAAGTTGAATTTACAATTAAAAACAAACACTAATAGTTTCTAGGCAACAGAGCTCAATTCTTTTCAAGCAGAATTCATTTAGTTTCTTCAGTAATGAAAGTTGTAGCGGAAGATAATCTTGTTAAACTCTTTATTTATAGTATTAGTGCATCTCACCCCTCCTCAAACAATTTTTGTTATGGTTTTATTCAACTTCTTCATAACAATTACTAATATTATACACATTTTTATCTTTAATTATGTTTTGAATCTTATGAACAAGGGAACTTGTTCCAGTATCCGAGATCTGGTATACTGCAACTGTTCTGTTTTTGTTTTTTTCTTTCTCTTTTTCTTTCTGTGATTTGTCTTAGAAGTCAATAGAGTGGGTACATAAGTAAATATAAAATAAATAAACAGGACATGCCTGTGCATTCTATCTTGCATTGTAATAGACATCTATTAATATTAATATACCTCTAAGAGAGCATGTTTGCGTTTATGGTGCATAAATTGCATTGCATATTGGTTGAGTGGTACTCTTCATAAGATATTAAATGCAGGCCCACGAGCAATTCCTAAATCTACTCGCCAGTTCGGCAGCATCTGGATTTGATTTGAATTGAATTATTTCATTATGAATCCGTAAAAACTGTAGATATGTTTAATTTGTGCTAGTTTTCTTGTGCTTCGTGTTTATAATATTCCTCTTTTCCATAGCATTGTTAGGATGGCAAAAAAAGTTTGTATACACCAAGATATAGTCTTGATGTTATTAAACGAATAGTAATCGTTATAATGTGTTTTAATTAAAATGTCTTCGGTAAAAAACAAAATTTAGAACTATAAAATATTGGACACTTCAAAATATTGGGGATGGGGAGACGTGGCCCTCTCCCCCGACAGCAAGTGGGTCCTCCTGAGACCCGAGGCGGCTCCACTGTGTAGATGTACCGTCTGGGCTCCACACATTCGGCAGTCGGCGAGTAACGAGCTCCAAATCCTGAACAGTAGGGATGGGTTGCTTGCAATTTGCCGAGCCCCAAACATTCGGTGTACGCCCTACTCGCTGAGTTTTTGCCTTTTGATGACGTCAAAGATTCGCTGTGCCCAGCTGGAGCCTTCTATTTTTACTTCCCCTCGAAACTTTAGTATCTTCCTGCTTAACCGATCATTCATTTCCCAGTGGTACGAGGCGTTACCGACAAAAACTTCCATCGTCTTTTCCGATTACTTTCGCCATTTGTAGTTCTGCGGAACAACAATAAGCAGCAGCGATGACAAGCCTGGAAACAATGTTGATTTGAGAACACTTGACAACACGTTTTATGCTTTGGGCTGCGTTAATCGGTCCATACTCATCTGTGCGATGTGGCTTCAAGATTCTGGCAAGATTGGACTCAGGCTTGATTAGATTCGCCGTTAAGGAATGAAATCTGTTGTGACCTTGCCGCCTGTGTCATATCTACCAAAACCTGTGTACTTCCTTAATTTTATTCCATCGGTCTCTGAAATGTCACTAAGGATTCCCTCAGCGGAAGGTTGTTTCAGAACACCGCGCTAAGGTCAACTTCAACGATAACTAAGTTTTGGCTTTGCACTTGAGAGGAAAGCGTTTCAAAACGCCTCTAATATCCATCAAGGGTATTGGCAAAGAAGAGCCCTGAGGTAACGAAATTGTTAGGGCATAGCCTACTCAAATTTTCTCAACTTTCCTAACTTGCGAAAAAAAAACAAAACGCGTACAGACTCGGCTTAAGCAGCGATCATACAAATGTCACATATTGACGCTCTACGCAACGGAGATGTTTAAGATTGTCATACGAAATATATATGTACGTATATTGACTAATATGATACAGGAACAACTAATTGAACAGGGTGGTGGCTGTACATCCAAATAACACATTAAAATTCTTGCAAGGAAGGAGTTGGTCAATTCTTAAAATTCAGAATTCACATTTTTAGATGCTAATGAATAATATTTTAAACTTGTGGACAACGGTATGTACGTATTACAAGAATAAACTATTCATAATCCATAAGCGAAGTTAATTGTAATTAGCTGTGATTCTGATGTTTCTTTACAGTAACTTTAAAGCAATCTTCTGACCAGCTCCTGCCTTGACGTCAACGCGCGCTAGGCACAGCGCAAGGAAGGGGAACGTGGAGCTTAGCGTAACCTCGGTGTACTTGTGATACACTTGGGTTACGAGAGACCACAAAGGTTGCAGCGGCTCTGCCTAATGTTTCGTCACAACAGACCTGCCTTGCTCCGTTGGAGGCTCCCCGCCAGTCCCACGCGAAGCTCGAACAGCCGGACAGCACCATTTCCTCGGTGAAGCAGGCAGGACCGTTCCCAAAGCGTCGTAGCGTACGACTGTCCATCATTCGCTTCCCCTCGACAATGCGGTTACCCCTTCGCGCTTGGTCATTGGTTACAGACTGTTCAGAATACCCCTTGGCGACGGGAGTGGAGGAAACTTAAAAGGGGTTGTCACGTGAGTGGTTATGTTCTTGAACCGCTCAATGTATTAGAAGCGAAAATCTGCGGTACTCTATCAGTTCTGATGTCACCATTCTATTTTCTCGGCACCTAAAATTGTATAATCATGAATGGAGTGCGGTCAAACAAACGGTTTTTGTTTACTCTTCTGGTATCATGCACTCACAATTTCTTTAAAATATGTTGTTTTTTTTGAAAATTGCAATTAAAAGTTCTCCCGCCCATTCCATCATGCATTACTCGGAAACTGCAACAGGCCCTCAAAACCCGCAATGTTCTTTAAGATGTTCTCTACAAATTTAAACTTTCCTTGATCTTGTTTTGAACTTTGGGGAGTTTCTTTCTCGCTCTGTAGCCCGGTGGCTCAGAATCTCGAAATCTACCTAACGTTAAAATACTCACGCGCCTGCTCAATGTTACTCGTATGTAAAGCCTCATTCACTATTCAAACTTAAACGTAAACGTCACGTAACACCAAAACCTAGAAATAAGTTACTAAGCGAGACCATTCACACTGCCTTGACGTAACCGTAGACGTAAATCCGTTAATTTAAGTGTTCACAAGCACCAAGCTTTTACTTTAAGTTTATGTCGGAATTCTACCGAAGACCAATCAGAGAGCAGCATGAAATAAACAAAATTCGCGTGACGCAAATAAAAGGTCGATTTCAGATTGTGTTCAGGTAGTTCGTGGATATGTCATTTCATTATTGTAATGTAGAGATCTAGTTTGCAAACGGTTTTGATGCGCATAGTGAATTCAAAGTAAGCATTTGGGCCATTTTTCTTGTTACTATAAAGCTTGGTGACTGAAATTTGAGAAGTTTAAAAATTTTCTTGTATCTTCCTACAACTACATTAAAAATTAAAATTTTTCTTGTAAATTAAATATTTCCTTCAAAAATAGATCTTTAAATGAGATCATGTACAATTTTTTCGAAATATGAGTAGTTTTTGCTAATTTAAAATAGTAAATTAATGATAATTTGAAAAACAATTACAAAAAGGTTTTCTCAAAAAACGACTCCACATTTTTCTTTATTATTTTTCTCACATAGATAGGGTAAAATATGTTTATAAAAATGACACAAGTCCGGGTTTTCTTGAAGTCCTTGAATTTTAGAAAATTGCAAAAGCTACAAATAAAGCGAGAAAATTTGTGCTCTTGAACCCCACTAGTGTTCGTGTTATTCTCTTCATTTTGTCGTAACAGGAGAATAAAGTTATATAATGCAACGAAACATACACGTGTTGGAGTCACTGTTACCTGAAAACTTTCCCCTTCAAAATGCCTGTCCTTCTGTCTGAATAATGCAAGAGCCCAACTCGACTAAATTTTCACCATAATCGACTTCCTAATTGATCGCACTAATGTTGAGGCTCCTTGAATTTGAAACGGTATTTTAATTTTAGGGAGTACGTTTCATGTAACCCCACTGACTTGTTCG